GTCCCCACCAACCCCCCGTCCTGTTCAGCACCTGCCACAGCCGCCTCTGTCCCCCCACAGAGCAGGGGGGTCTGGAATCACCTCCTGATCCCCTTCCCAGTGCAAAAATGGGAGAGTTCTGCTCAGTTTTAGCCTGGGAACTCAGCCCCAGCTGGCTTCACTTTGGGAATTCAGGCAGGGTTTGCCTGCTGGGGCCTGTGGTGGGCACAGCTGCCCTGTGGGACCATCCTGCCCCCATTTAGGGGGTCCCCCCACCCATCAGCCCCATCCTGAGCAGAACCTGGAGCTCCTGCTTTAACCCCTCTCCTGCTGGCAGGGCCGTGCTGAGGGACTTTGTGGGGAACCTGCAGCCCCAGCGCCTGCTGAAGCAGAAGCTGCAGTGCCTGACTGACATTGCCAGCAGCAAAGCCTTCCAGTGCCACGGTGAGAGGGGTCCTGGGGGCACTGCCCTTGCTGAGCCCACCCAGAGGCCATGCACAGGCTGGGGAGGAGGGCCTGAGCAGGGATTCCACCTCTACCTCATNGATGTGCAGCCCCAGGGGTCCCTCTGGACTGGGGAGAGCCCACCCTGCCAGCCTTGACTCCTCCCTGTGCACAGATCATCATCTCCCCCCTGGAAAATGCCATTGAGACCATGATGAAAACCAACGAGAAGATAATGAGTGAGATCAACAGGCACCAGAACGACCCCGGCCTGCCCATCAACCCTCTGTCCATGCTGCTCAACGGCATCGTGGACCCTGCAGTCATGGGGGGCTTCACCAACTATGAGAAGGTGAGGGGTGCAGAGGCTGGACTGGCACTGTGGGGAGCCTTGGGATGAGGATTGGGATGGGGAGGACACAGCAGGAAGGGTTTGGGGGTGCCACAGTGCCCAGCACTGGTGTGATCCCATCAGAGAAACACCTGGCTTGGTATTAATTGGGATCCCATGGGAGGAGAGGGGCTGGGATCCCAGAGAGGAGATGGGGTAGCATTCAGGGAGGAGGGGAGATGGATCCCAGAGAGGAGAGGGGGTGGCATCCAGTGAGGAGAGGAGATGGATCCCAGAGCAAAGGGGGTGCCATCCCCAGCCTGTGTGAGCTGGGCCAGCCTGGCAGTGGCACTCAGGAGGGTTTTTCAGGCTTTTTTCCAGGAGCTGTACATGCAGGAGCACCCTGAGGACGCAGGCAAAATCGAGAAGCTGAAGGACCTGATCGCCTGGCAGGTACCAGGTGCAGCATCCCCCTGGCAGGGCCAGCTGGCAGCGGTGCCAGGGAGCCCCACGAGTCCCCGCTGTCCCACAGATCCCCCTGCTGGCTGAGGGCATCCGGATCCACGGGCAGAAGGTGCCAGAGGACCTGCGGCCGTTCCACGAGCGCATGGAGCAGTGCTTCGAGCAGCTGCGCGCCAAGGTGGAGGCTCAGTACGGGGTGCGAGAGATGGTGAGTGTCACCGTGGGCATGGGCACTGCCAGTGCAGATGTGGGGCAGCAGGGAACAGCTGGCTGAGGGCACAGATGGGGCAGGAACAGGGTGAGGAGCACTGGGCCCTACACCTCAAGGTGCTTCCTATTGAGAGCCAAGATTACATTTAAAGGGAGGTGGAAACCTGAAGTAAATAACATTTTATTAACCAATAAGTGACCCTAAGGGATGGATATTGGGGGATAGACATTTAGGACAGGGTGTGGAGAAACACTTGGGGGGCTGACGCCGGGCCTCTGGCTAATTACTGGATGTCCTGGACTGAAACTTCTAGAAGGAGGGGATGGGATGCTGAGGATTGGGATGGGAGGGGAGGACACAGCAGGAAGGGTTTGGAGGTGCCACAGTGCCCAGCACTGGTGTGATCCCATCAGAGAAGCGTCTGGCTTGGTATTAATTGGGATCCAGGGAGGAGAGAGGATGGNGGGACAGCCCAGACACCCAAAAGTGTTCTGTGTGTGGTGTCCCCAACAAGGGGACAGGAGGCGCGGGCTTGCCTGTCACCCTCCCTGCTGCCTCCCTGTCACCCTCCCTGGTGCCTCCCAGCTAGGGGAGAGCTCTGGGAGTGCAGGCAAGCAGAGCCAAGGGGTGTTGGAGCCAGGGCTGGCCCTCACCTGTAGATGATGCAGGCACAGTCCCGGCAGGTCCCGCAGTTGGCGATGTCCTGCCCGGTCCGGTACGAGTGGCGCCTGTGACAGAGAGGTGCCGTGAGCCTGGGGACCTGCTCTGGGTCTGCCCGTGTCCTCTGCTGCCCCTGTCCCACCCCAGCAGCCAGGACTCTGCTCCCTGCAGCCCAGCTCCTTTTCTCCCTGGCATGCAGACCCTGTTCTCCCTGTATCTCCTCCTGAATCCCAGCTCCTCTTCCTCTCTGGGATCCATCTCTCTGGATGCCACCTCCTCTCCTCTCTGGGATCCATCTCCTTTCCTCCTGAATCCCATCTCCTCTTCCTCTCTGGGATCCATCCCCTTTTCTCCCTGAATCCCATCTCCTCTTCCTCTCTGGGATCCATCCCCTTTTCTCCCTGAATCCCACCTCCTTTTCTCCTTGGGATTCAGACCCCCTTTCCCCTGTATTTCCTCCTGAATCCCAGCTCCTCTTCCTCTCTGGGATCCATCCCCTTTTCTCCCCGGATCCCAGCTCCTTTTCTCCTTGGGATTCAGACCCCCTTTCCCCTGTATTTCCTCCTGAATCCCAGCTCCTCTTCCTCTCTGGGATCCATCTCCCTGGATGCCACCCCGTTTCCTCTCTAGGATCCATCTCCTTTTCCTCCCTGAATCCCACCCCCTTTCCTCTCTGGGATCCATCTCCTCTCCTCCCATGTGATCCCAATCAATACCAAGCCAGGTGTTTCTCTGATGGGATCACACCAGTGCTGGGCACTGTGGCACCCCCAAACCCTTCCTGCTGTGTCCTCCCCTCTCATCCCCATCCCAATCCTCATCCCAGGGCTCCCCACACCTCTCCCCACACGTGGTGCCATGGAGGGAGCGCAAAGCACGTGGTGCTGCCCTGGCACAGCCGTGCCCTGGCAGATGGGCACAGGGAGATGCTCCAGACTCATCTCCAGCCCACGCCAGGCTCGGAATTTATCTTTTTGATGTTTTTGTACCAGAGCATCCTTCTCCTCCTCCAGGAAGGTGCACAGGGCTTGGATTAAGCTGATTCCTGCCCAGGCTCAGCTCATGCTGTCCACAGGAGGAGTCATCACCCCACATCTCTCTGCTGCTGCCACACCCCAACCCTGAGACTCCCCAGTCCCAAGGGCTGTACTGGGGCTCTCCTGCACCCCAGCACTGCTGGTCCCTGCTCATTCTGCTCTGCCCAAAAGGAACCCTGTGAATGCTTTTGGTCCCTTTGGGGCCCCTTCAGGGCTGTGGGTTTTGGAGGCACAGAACATGTCCTACATCCACGTCACATTTCCTCATTGAAACCTTCCTCCTGTTACTCGACCTTGACCACAGTTGTTCTCAGACCTCAGAAACTGGGTCTGCTAATGCACCAAATTACACATTGCAATGGGGATTTATCCTGCCAGCACCTGAATTAGATCATGAGCCCCTTTATACACACATATATATATGTGTGCTACGTAAATGTGTGTGTGCCTGCAGCTCTGGCCTTGTACAACAGCCCCCCTCTGCTGGGAGAGCTCATCCTGGGATACTCTACCATGTTTTATATGGATAATTTTTTTGTGGGACGTTGCTGGTGGTCGGTGCCAGGGTGTCTCAGGGCTGGTGGCCCTGCTCTGGTGTGCAGTAGGCACCTGGGATCTGACCTGTGGCAAACGAGGCTCTGCTGTTCTGCAGCACAGGGACACCAGGATAATGTTTGGTGTGATTTCCTATCCCTGGGTGTCTTGTTTGCTTGTTTGACTCTAACAGTAAATAGAGTTGAGGTCTTAATTAAGACCTCACCTTAATTAAGGGGTTTGGGACAACCCTGAGGGGTCTCTCCCCACTGACAGTGCTCCAGGGGTGGCACAGGGGCAATGGGGACAATGTTCCCTGTGCTCCACTCACAGCCAAAACCATCTGATTTAATGGTTAATCATGGCAATATTGGGCATAGGAAGAAGCCCCAGAGATTTTACAGGAGGATGCCAGGCCTGGCACCTCTTGGAGGTTTGTTGGTTGCTCTTGTGGGAGATGAGTTTGGAGCATTTCAGCTTCAGACCATGGCGGCCTGACCTAGAACACCTTCCTCACCTTCTTCCATCTGGCAAATCAGCCTGGGAGCCCAAGGAATGCTGGCCTGGGGAACTCCCTGCCCCTTGGAGCAAGCCCTGGGCAGGGCAGGATGGGGGTCCTGGATGCAGCCAAACCCATGACTGGGGCAGCAGCCATGGATTTGTGCCAAAGGAACCTCCAAGGATGGAGGTTCCTCCAGGATGGATGGTTCCTCCAGGAACCCAGAACCCCCTCATCCCCCATTCCTGGCCACGTGAGACCTCTCACCAAAGCCTGGAGCCACATGGACAGCAGCTCTGAGTTTCTCAGAGGGAAACACCCTAAGCAGGCAGCACATCCAAATCTCAGTCAGGGTCCCCCATCCTCCATCCCCAGCCCCCAGGGCATTGTCCCCACAGCCCCTCACACTCTGTCCCCTCCTACTCACCCATCCCTCTGCGCCTCCTTCTTCTCCAGGTCCTGGATGACGTCCAGCAGCACCCGGATGGTTTGCTGGCTGGTCTCCAGCACCCCTTCCAGGGACTGCAGCTGGGAATGCAGGTCCCCCTGCTCCCCGGGCCCCCGAGGGCCCTCTCCCTGAGATGTCCGGGCGTCCTCAGCCCTCGCTGGTGGTCCCANGCAGCAATCAGATAATTATTGTTTTCATTCCTCTCTGAGGCTTCTCAGCCTCCCAGGAGAAAATCCTGGGAAGATTTTTCAGACAATATCACGGTGACAGCGGGGCAGGTGGACTCTGGACAGCGTTTGGGGGGCAGAAAGGACCTCACCCCTCTGTGTGATGGAGGTGGGCACACCAGGCTGGGCACGCTGGTGCTGCCCTCACTCCATGCCCACTGTCCCCAGGGAGTTCCTGCGTGCCATCAACCACTTTGCCACCACCTTGACCGAGATGTTCCTGAGCGACAGCGACTTCGAGCTGCAGGTGGGTGGGTGGCACTGCCTCAGCCCAGGTGGGTCAGGAGCAGACCCCGCTGTGCCCCCCAGCCTGGCACTCATCCCTCTGCCTCCTTCCACCGCAGCTTTGGAACAATTATTTCCACCTGGCCGTGGCTTTCCTCACGCAGGACTCGCTGCAACTGGAGAATTTCTCCCCGGGCAAACGCAACAGTATCCTGGCCAAGTGAGTCCCTGCCCCGGGGACAGGGATTTTGGGATGAGCCAGCTGGGCTGGGCACACCCGGGGCTGCAGAGCGATGCTGTCCCTCTGTCCCCGCAGGTACGGGGACATGAGAGCCACCATCGGAGCATCCATCCGGGACATGTGGTACAGCCTCGGTGAGCCGCGCTGTGCAGGGATGGATTTTGGCTCTCCGTGCCCACAGTGGGTGTGGCGAGCGGGGTTTTGCTGCTTTGGGCGTGGATCTGTCCTCCCAGCCCTCCCTGTACCCCCAGGGCAGCGCAAGATCGAGTTCATCCCGGGCATGGTGGGTCCCATCCTGGAGATGACGCTGGTGCCGGAGCTGGAGCTGCGCAAATCCACCATCCCCATCTTCTTCGACATGATGCTGTGCGAGCACCGCCTCAGGGGCAGCTTCACCCGGGTGAGGCCCGGGATGGGCTGGGAACCATCCACGGCAGGGAGTGGCGTGGTCTGGAACCTTCTCTCTGGGATGGTCTCTGGGGAGGAGCTGCTCCAAGCTCAGCCTTTCTCCGTCCTCTTTCCAGTTTGAGGATGAGATCCTGCGCAGGCTGGACAGCGAGGTGGAGGGCGGCCGCGGGGACGAGCAGTACATGCAGCTTTTCAGGAGCATGTGAGTGTGCAGTGACATCCCTGCCACCTTGTCCGCTTTGCTGTCACCGTTCCTGCTGCCATCCCACTGCTCCTCACGCTGTGCCCTGGCCCGGAGTGTGCCGGGGGAAAGGGAGCAGCGAGGAGGGAGCCTGAGCACCACCGTGTGCCCCCTGCACACCTCTGCTGGCCCAGCCAGCCTGCCCCAGGTGTTATCTTTGCCCCAGGTGTTACCCCTGCTGCAGGTGATGCTCCTGTCCCTGCTGACACCCGTGCCCCAGGAATTACCCTATGCCTTAAGTGATGCCCCTGTCCCAGGAATTACCCCTGCCTGAGGTGTTATCTCTGCCCCACATGTTATCTCAGACCAGGAGTCACCCCTGCTTGAGGTGATGCCTCTGCCCCAGGTGTTATCTCAGACCAGGAGTTACCCCTGCTTGAGGTGTTATCTCTGCCCCAGGTGTTACTCCTGCTTCAGGTCTTATCTCTGCCCTGAGAGTCACCTCTGCCTGAGGTGATGCCACTGCCCCAGGTGTTATCTCTGCCCCAGGTGTTATCTTTGCCCCAGGAATTACCCCTGCCTGATGTGATGCCTCTGCCCCAGGTGTTATCCAAGCCCCAGGTGTTATCTCAGACCAGGAGTTACTCCTGCCCCAGGTGTTATCTCTGCCCCAGGAATTACCCCTGCCTGAGGTAATGCCCTTGCCCCAGGTGTTATCTCTGCCCCAGGTGTTATCTCTGTCTCAGGTGTTATCTCAGCCCCAGGAGTCCCCCCTGCCCCAGGTGATGCCCCTGCTTCGCCCAGGCTTTGTCCCTGCCCTTGCTGCCGGGCAGGGCAGTGGTGGGAGCACAGCAGAGCTGGCTGTGCAGTGGGACCCGTGTGCCTCCCTCTCTTCCCCAGCCTGCTGAGCTGCTGCCAGAGCCACCCCGAGCTGGCCAAGCCTGGAGAGGACTTTGTGAGGCTGGTGAGCGAGCTCCTGGAGCGGCTCCTGGACTACAGGGCTGTCATGAATGACGAGAACAAGACCTACAGCATGAGCTGCACCGTCAACCTGCTGGTGAGCACCTTGCCCTGCTCCAGCTCCTCGGGCTGCCAGGGCTTATCCCCTGTCCCAGCTCCCTGGGGCAACCTGGGCTTGTTCCTGTGCACCCCAAGTCCCCAGGGCTGGTAGGGCTTGTCCCCAAGTCCCCAGGGTGCCCCTGGCACAGCAGAGAGGGGGTGCCAGAGCTGGCATCGCTTGGGATGTGCAGCTGTGTGGGCCATGGCCATCCCTGTGTGGGGACAGTCCTGACAGCACCGTGACCCAGAGGGTGGCACTGTGAGGGGCTGTGGCACGTGCCACCCCTAGGGCCACTCAAGCAGCCTCATCTGCCTTTCCACAGAACTTCTACAAGGAGATTGACCGCCAGGCCATGTACATCAGGTGAGCCCAGCCCTGGGATCCCCTGCAGAGCCTGGGCTGGGGCCTCCTGGTCATTCCCAGAGGGATGGGCTGGGCAGGGCGGCCTGAGGGGCAGGTGACGGTGCTGTCACCCCCCACACGTGGCTGTGTCACCCCCAGGTACCTGTACAAGCTGAAGGACCTGCACATCAGCTACGAGAACTACACGGAGGGAGCCTACACGCTGCTGCTGCACGCCCGGCTGCTCACGGTGGGCACGGGGGGCTGGGGGACTGTGAGGAGGGGGCAGCTCCATGGCCCAGGGTGTGACAGTCCCCAAACCCTTGTGCAGTGGTCAGAGGAGTCGAATGCAGCTCCTGTGCCGGGCCCACACGGGCTCCAGCTGCACACTCAGCGCCAGCTGAAGGAGGCTCTGTACAACCAGATCATCGAGTACTTCGACCAGGGCAAGGTGAGCGTGGCTCCTACAGACCCTGCAGCTCTGAAACACCAAAACTGGAGGGAGCTGGGCTGGCTTAGGGCAAGCCTGGCCCCCTTGCCACAAATTCCCCCCTGTATCATGCTCTCACATCCCATCCTCAGCACAGCCCCTCACTCCCCAGTGCTGCAGAAGGGCTGGAGCTGCCCCAGTGAATCTGGGCTGGATGGGTCACCCCACAGCCCCTGTCCCTCATCCCATCCCTGTCCTGTGCTGTCCCATCCCAGCCCAGGTCAGAGGCTTGGACATCTCTGGACAAAGGCTTGATGGGGTCAGCTGGGGGCTTGGTGGGAAGCCAAGTTCTTCTGCTGCCCACCAGTCCCCACAGGAGAGCCCTCTCCCCCTCCTCACAGGGGCAGGGGTGCAGGTGGTCCCTGCTGGAAGCCCCTGGTGCCCCTTCCCCATTTCACCCTGCACTGGGGGGCCCTGTCCTGGCCCCTCTCTCTCTCCCCAGATGTGGGAGGAAGCCATCCACATCTGCAAGGAGCTGGCGGAGCAGTACGAGAGCCACGTGTTCGACTACGAGATGCTGAGTGACATCCTGGTGGGTGCCTGGCTGGGCAGGGGGCATGGGGGGTCTGCAGGGCCCCCTCCTGCCCTCATCCTGCCCCTCTCCTCTGCAGCAACGAGAGGCAAAGTTCTATGAGAAGATCCTGAAGGTGCTGCGGCCCAGCCCGGATTACTTTGCTGTGGGGTACTACGGGCAGGGCTTCCCCACCTTCCTCAGGGTAAGCAGAGNACAATCCCCTCATGCCCGTGTCCCCTTGTCCCCCCAGAGTGCAGGGAGCTGGTGCTGCAGGCAGCCCTGCCCATCCTGCAGGAGCTGATCCAGGCAGGGGAGGAGGAGGACGCCTGCATCGAGCTGCTCAGCAGCATCCTGGAAGTTCTCTACCAGGCCCAGAAGGTAAAGCAGGAATCAGCTGGGCAGTGACCTGGCCAAACCCCTCTGAGTGAGGTTAATCACCAGTTCCTGGCCAGGATATTGTTGGAGTTCACTCACTGTGGGTGTCACCATTCCAGCAGGACATGCCCAGGGTGGGACACAAACTTTGTGTTTTCCACCTCAGTGAGTTTCTGCTGGGTTGCCCAACATCCACATGAGAGGGGAAGGGGCTTCCAAGCTCAGGGATGACATTAACCTGAGGGTGGTGGGGACATCAGCAGCTCTGCAGAGCTGGGAGGAAGAAAATGAGGGAAGGGAGGAAGGTGAGATCACATTGATAATGAATCATGAAAGATCTGGAGAGACATTCTGTGGTATTGGCCAACCAGACCAAGCAGGTGGAGAATGGCTTTTCTGGATTTGAATAAACCAAACCAATGGTATCCAAACCTGATGCATTGGCCAAGGTCACCCAAACATTGGTTTTTGGTTGACTCACAGGCAGGATCACGTTACTTAAGGCAAACAAAAAAGTAATAAGGCATGAGTATGATTTCTGATTTAGTGTCCTATTTTTCTTTGGTTTCCTTTCTGATTCAAGGCACTTTTACTTTTTGTCTTTTCCCAATTCTATTTTGGAACAGGCCAAATGTAACTAAGATTTCAATGGCCCTATACCTCCTATGAAATTCTGCTGGTCAGCGATTGCCAGTCACCCCCTGGGCAATATCACACTCCAAAATGAAGTGTGATGGCTCCAAACATGAGGCAGGGACATGGTGGGCACCCACCCACCCAAATGTGGCCTGTCTGGGGTGGGCTGGGGCCATTCCTGGGGGTCTCAGCTCTGTTTTGGTGATTGCAGAGCGCAGAGAAGCTGCGAGCACGGCACAAGGACCGCGGGGATGCGGAGCTGGTGAGTGTCCCTGCAACACAGGGAGTGGTTTGGGAATGCACAGGGCTCTGTTCCTGCCCTTCCTGGCTGCTCTGGGGTCCCTTTTGGGGTCCCTTGGGGGGTTCAGATGTTCCACCTGCAGTGCAGTGACTGTGGGAGCTGAGTTGGACACTGTGTCCTGGGAGGGTGAGGTGGTTCCTTAATCCCCACAGCACCAGGAAGCCCAGGAATGGGATGGAAAGCTCAGAAAATGTGGTGAAATGTCTCATTAACTTTGAAACCTGAAACAGCCTTTATGGAAATCATGGTGGGATGCTCTGGGGGAAGATTCTGCTCTTGCTTCAAGCCCATGAGAGTTGACCCCACCTTTACCTGCCCAGCGCCATCCCCATCATCCTCAGCCATCCTTGGCTGTCGCCATTGTCCCCAGCCAGGTGGCCACAGTGCCATGGAGGTATGCAGAGCTGTGCACCTCTCTGTGCAGGGCTGAGCTGTACAGAGATCCCAAATCCCATATTTTTGCTGGTGCACATTGCCTCGCTCTGACTCCAGCTCCGGATCAGGCTCCATTCCCGTGTCACCACCCCGATACCACCAGCCCTTGAAGGAGCCATGCTGGGACACCTCCCACAGCTGGGACGTGCCCTGCCATGGCCCTGCCACCTCTCACCTTGCAGGCACAGGTGAAGAAGCACATCCAGGTGATCCTGGAGCGGCTGCTCCACACGGTCAATCGCAGGGTGATCGTCCTGGACCGGGAGAACCCGCTGAGGGTGAGTGCCACTGTGCCACACAGGAGAGGTGACACTGCTTTGGGGGCCTGGCTGGGTGTGACTGGCTCTGCTCCTCGCTGGCCCTGCTGCCAGCACCCAGCAGGATGGGGATGGATGCCAGGGATGTGCCCAGTGGGATGCAGGGGGAAGCAGGAGCTGGAGCATCTGGAGAGCTGCTGTGTCCCGGGAGGCCGAGGTGGTTCCTTAATCCCCACAGCACCAGGAAGCCCAGGAATGGGATGGAAACCTCAGAAACTGTGGTGAAATGTCCCATTAACTTTGAAACCTGAAATAGCCTTTATGTAGAGCATGGTGGGATGCTCTGAGAGAAGATTCTGCTCTTGCTTCAACCCCATGAGAGTTGATCCCACCTTTACCTGCCCGTGGGACAGGAAAAGCTGTTTTGGGAGCAGTGAAGGGTTTGGGCTGCATTATCTGGAAATATCAGCTGAACCCGGTGAACCATCACAGTTTTACTGCCAAAAACGCGTGAGGAGCACGCTGGACACGCGGGAAGGAAGGCGGGTCAGTGGAGCAGCAATGGGAGGGGACGGAGCCGGACCAGCGGGGCTCGGGATCTTTTTGGGGACGTGGTGACAAACNTAATATAATATAATATAATATAATATAATATAATATAATATAATATAATATAATATAATATAATATAATATAATCTATACTAAAGAAAGAGAAAGGAGAAATCAGAAAGCCAGAAAGGAATGAATAATAAAATCCTGTGGTTGACCAGAGTCTCGACACAGCTGGACCATTTTTGGCCATCAAGTAAAAATAATTCACATGAGACCAATCCAAGATGCACCTGTTGGTAAAGCATCTCCAGACCACATCCCACAGCCATCAGACAATTATTGTTTACATTTCTTTTCTGAGGCTTCTCAGCTTCTCAGGAGAAAAATCCCAGCAAAGACATTTTTCAGAAAACACGTCAGTGACAGCTGGGAGCGTGGCTTGGTCTCTGTGCATCCCTGTGCGTGTGGGAATCCCATAAATGCCTCTGTGTCCCCCTGGGGCTCACCCCCGAGGCTCTGGAGCCCTGTGCCCAGCAGCCCTGCCCTGCAGGGCGTTCCTGTGCTCCTTCACTCCCTCAGACATCCAGTGCTTCACCGTGCAGCCGGCAGAGGAGGCCAAGGTGCGGCTCAGGGGCCGCAGCATCCCGGAGCAGATCACCAAGTGAGTGCCCGCACAGAGCTCTGCTCCCTGCGGGTGGTGGGACACAATGAGGGTCCTCTCTCATTTCCGTCCCTTCCCTCCCCACAGCTTCTACAAAGCCAACCACATCCAGAGGTTCAGCTACTCCCGGCCTTTCAAGAGGGGCCCGAGCGATCCCGACAATGAATTTGCTGTGAGTGCAGGGGGGAGCTGCCAGGACCCTCAGCTGGGGGGTCCCTGGTGCTGTGCCCATGGAGGTGGGAGCCCCCCAGGCCGTGGGGTAGCCAGGGGTGATGGGAGGAGGGTGGGCAGTGACTGCTGCTCTTGCCACAGAACATGTGGATTGAGAGGACGACCTTCAGGACAGCCTATCCCCTGCCGGGCATCCTGCGCTGGTTCGTTGTCACCTCTACTGACACGGTGAGGAGGGGGCTGGGGGCTCTTCCAGGAGCCTGGGGGATGCTCCAGCCATGCCAGGAGCTCAGGCTGGGGCTGGGGAGCGTGTCCTGCCTGTGACATGCTCTGTGGGCAGCAGGGACAGTGTGTGGGCTTTGTTCCTCTGTCAGGGGTGGGTGTTGGCCAGCATCCAGGGGGTCTCAGGAGCCACAGCTGTGGAGATGTGATGTGCCCTGGCTGGGCTGTCACAGGGTGTCCTGGTGGCTGTCACAGGATGCCATGGCTGGGCTGTCACAGGGTGTCCTGGTGGCTGTCACAGGGTGTCCTGGTGGCTGTCACAGGGTGTCTTGGTGGCTGTCACAGGGTGCCCTGGTGCATCCCCAGCTGCACCCCCAAAGTGACACCAGAGGTTACCCAGGTCTCCTGCAGCCTCACTGCTGCCCCGTGCCCATGGGGGTGACTCT